TTCAGCTAAAGAGTTCTCACAGTTGTTAGAAGTTAAACATAGGTATTTATGAGACGCCTCATCAGATCATCTTCTTTGCATTTTCAATAAAACAAACACTTTTCCAGTCTTTAGACAGTGGTAGAGTACCCCTGCAGGTAGTAATTACTGAATTAGCCCCTGGTTTGAAAAGCAAGACAAGATCTTCCAAATCCTCCCAATTATATAAACACTTTTTTCAGTATTGAAAACCTTAAGTTTATACTAAAATTTTGTGGAAATATTCTCAACTTAACTGTAATCTGGTTTGTTTACATACCAGATCTTTAATTTAAAGCCGCATTAATTTTTTCTTCCCCTAAGATGACTTTACTTTTCACATAATCTGTTACCTTGAGTGAAATCATATTTTATACACAACCATGTTCCTTTAATTCATGAGTAAAAGAAATCATGATAAAATATCATAATGCATTATGTCACTTATCCAGTTATATCCAATTACATCAAATACTTTGGTGGTTCTGAAGTCTTTGTTACAGATCCTTCTTAAAGAACGAGGGTGTATATTTAAGAACACTACATAAAAAAAAAATTAATTACAAAAAACTATTTTGTCATTGCAATACACTGTCAAGCCTGTGTAGTCAACAAAAGTTATTTATTTGGGTTCAATGAAACTGTGATACTGATGATCTCAGAGTTTCTAAAACATATTCTGAAATGAAGAATTTATGACTCCCTATGAAGTGTAAAATATTATCCTCCAGTGTAAGAAATTTGCTTATAATGAAGAGAAATCATTGAGAGAATTTGGAGTTCAGAATTACCCTATACAGCATTTTAGAACAAAAGGGAGAAACACCTTTAGCACTTGTGACTGTCCAGGAAGTATCTGTGAACTAGAAAAGACTTCATTTGATTATCACACATGAAATGCAACTCTACTCAGATAAAAACACAGATGACAAACTGCTGTACTCTTTTCGTAGCTCACAGTTTAAAAAAAAAAAAAAGGCATTCTTGTTTCTAGTCAGCATCAGCTCAGAGAAAAAGTCACATACTAAACAACCAGCTCCGTATCCCATAGCACATCACTGTCATTTAATTCTCTTTGTTAAGTATTGATTTTTCAGAGTCAAGTAAGAAATTAAGCTGAGTTTACAAAAAGAGTAATTTAAGTGCAAGTTAAACCAACATCTGTCTAAGTAAGGGCTGCCAAAAGGTCAGAAGAAGACTTGAGAGCACACGTATAGGTTTAGATGAATTTTTTATAACAGCAGCAGTGCTGTAACTTCCTGCTAAGTGTTCTCGCAGACTTTGGAAAAAAAATAAGGTTCATCCAAAACCAGATGAAGAGTTACATAAATGAAAGCTCAAACTAAAATACTAAGTTAAATATTACCTGAAACTAAAATACTAGGTTAAAATAAAACAGAGAATGTTCAAGTCTTTACATGCTCTTGTTCTGCCCCGCGTTCATATCCACGGTACGAAGGACCCCATCTCATGGCTCATGTCTTTGTCTACATCAAAGACTTTTCTTATGGGCTACCGCACAAAATGGACTCAGCTCTGGTTGCTTCAGTTTTGAGCTCTGACTGATTGGGAGAGGAAGTGAAGCATTGCAGTGAGCAATGCCTCCTAAGTCACACCCAGTGCTGCACAAATTAATGGCTTAGATCAGCTGAACCATATTTTTAAGAGAAACCCACACATCAGAAAATCATACATGGGATATTACAGTTCAGATCCAAGAGAAGGCCTTATACAAATCAAAGCATTTATTAAACCTTCCTAACATAATCATAATCAAGTATAATCAAATCCTGCAGAAAATACTACTTTACTACTTCTGATATTGGCGATCTGCACTTGGCAGCCCACTTTATCTAATGGAAATTAGAAACAACAGTCAGGAAATCAATGAGCGTTGAAGAAAAAAAAAAAAAAAAGATGCTCAATGAATAAAACACATTAAGAAAACTAATGAAGCTTGTAGCCTGATGGTTGTTTGTCTCAATGTAACGACCTAAAGCTGTTCAGAAAAGCGAATTTTAAATACTCTCCAAAGGTCTGAAAACAAAAATGTAAGTGTCTACTTAGAACTGTATGAATCAGGATATCAATTTAAATGTCAGGATCCATCCGTTCTTGACTTGATGGGAAAAAGTTTTAAATGAATGTAGGCATGCAATATCTGCTGCATTATAAATACTCTAACTAAAAATAAAAGAAGAACATGAGAAAGTGAGTGATAAAGCAGGCAAGTCAGGAAAGAAAAAAGCATGTCTGAATGACTTGAAATCTCTCTGGCATACAGCAATATATTAAGGAGTAAAACTAAACACTAAGCATTGCCAGCAAGTTTGCGAGGCCTTGCAAATCACCACGTACTTTAAACAGCTTTGCAGAGATACGAATTTTACGCATAATATAGAAAGACTTCTCCAGAAAAGTCAACCGATTCATGCAACTGGGAACTGCAATGAACATGTTCTTTTGTAAACTAGTATTGTGTGTCCATGCTTTTGAGGGCTTCAGTGCTACAGGTCTTCGTAAACCCAGCATCTCACCCTCACATGCTTACCTCGAACTTTAAATTGAAAATAGCATATAAAAACGACGTGCATTTTTATTGTTTAAGGCCACATTACTCAGGGCCTAAAAATCAAAGCTAATGAACCAGTTCTATGGACAGCTTAACTATTATTCATTCCAATTCTTGGCTAAAATGTATTAATTTGAACAAAACAAAAAAATGTACTTGAACAAAAAAATAAGGCCAAGAATCAAAGTCTAAGATATTTGATACATTTGGACACTAACGAATTACTAAAATGTACCTTTTAATCGGGAGTCCCCTCCAAAGGCACCACATCCCCAGTTTCCTGTGGCTATTGCAGAGAGGTGTTGAGGTGGAACATTGGGTCGAGAGAAGCCACAGTAGGCCTGCAGGCAGACAAGAGTCAGAAGATGAAGCTGACAGGCAATCTGGTGCGCTATTTTCAAACAATAAGATAGTAACAATAATCAGTGTTGTCTTCCAGCAATATCCAATTCAGACTACTTCACTACACCATTAGGCTTCCTTTAAATTTAAGGTCAATCACTGAAGAATTTAAGGCAAAGAGAATTTTGCTTTATTTGGATCCAAATTAAAATCAGATACAGGGGCTGACTCCTAGGGATTTCATCACAGCTACAGGAAACTTTTCAGGATAACCAGAGCAGAAAATAACTTTTAACAGTAGATTGTATCATGTTTGTTGCTTTTTGGCCCATTTAGCATACAGGACAGCTGAACTGATGTGTCCAGTATTACTGAAATTCTTCAAAACTGAAAATAAAATACAAAATGGCATCTTAGAATACAGGTCTAATGCAACAAATGAGGGTAGGAGGAAAAAGTGTGATATTCATTAAGAAATCTTGAGTAAAGGCAGGTGCTTCCATGTAGGATAAATCTCTCTGGGAAGTTTTTCAACAGTACAAAAATTTATTGAATTGGTACAATTGTCTGGTACAGACTGAAGGATCCATGGTTTCACTCCAACTTGATCTAAGCTGCAAATTCAGACTTCTGTTAGTTATAATTTAGCAGGGTACCACGACTCAGAGTTTGCATAAGGAGCACTTACACATCATCAGGTGCATGCAGCTTCTTGAGCTCTTTCAAGTCAGAGCTATGAGTGTGCTTAATGTCCAAAGCACGTTTGTACAATGGGCCAAGCAAGCTAGTACTTTGTCTGTGAGGACAATAATTCTTCAAACTCCATCCTCCCAGCAAGGGAAACTGATTGGTGTTGCAACAGGATGCCATTTTCTTTTCAGCTTGTACTTAATGGGCATGTATTTCTCAATTTGCCAGGACAAGGAGAACAAAAGCTGTCTTGTCAGACACAGTAAGCAAGTCAGCAAATACTTGAAGGACTTCAGCAGCAAAGGAGGAAAATATCTAAGTGGTCCCCTATGATTTTTCACAGAAATGAAGGATAAAGATAAAAGCAACAACTTCTTTTAAAAAGAGACAATGCACCAATATTTTAAATAGGTTTCACCTAGGAATACAGGAATATGAAATCTTTCTGTGCAGTTGAAAAGCAAGTTGCTTCCAAATGGGAAGCAGAAGAGCTGTTCCTTTTGAACTATATAAATGAACCTGAAGTGATGTCTCATTATTTAGAAGTGATGTGATGTTTACAGTTGGTTTGTTTTCATATAAAACTGTTACATATAGTTCTCACTGTTAACAGTTTGAAACATAACTATTCTGCATACCATAATTCTTAGGGAAGCATTTCTTGACAAAAAGCTGTAGCTTTTTTTAATTGGTGACTATCAAAATAAGCTTAACAACATTTATGGGTGGGATTGCAAGCCCAATTGTCAGTTGTTCCTTAAGATTTGGAAAGTGGAACTTGCAAATGGAAAAATTATTACCGGTGAGAGTCTTTATTAGGCAATAATCTCAAGGGGCTGGCAAGGATGAAACGGTGACATCTCTTACACATATATCTGCAAATCTCAGTTCTGAAATCAGATAAAATGATTTTTTTTTTCTTGTTCTGAACAGGTGACTTTAGACAATATTATTTTTTTTTATGACTAGGGGTTAAACCAGAAACAAGCGTCAGCTTCAGATGTTACCTTTTAAGAGGACTGATCTGGTTCTTTAAGACAAATGAATCTTATAAAGGAGAAATATAGGCTTACAATACAGGTTGCAAGAAGAATCACTTCAAGTTGTTTCAGTTATTTCCTAATGTCTAGCAAAATAACAGACACACAAAAGAACCTCTGGACACTGGGCTGTGTCTACCAATACATAATACACTTGTATTTCAAAGCTTGTGTCCATATACTGTGCTTACCGAGTCCTGATTTATTAAATCATAATAGAACTACAGTTGCAGCTTACTCCATCAACTTGGTTTCACCGACAGAAAAAAAATCTTAAGGTTAACATTAATTTTAAATCAAACTGAAAAAACCCACCATAGTACATTCAAAAATATTTGATTTGTTAAAATACTATAGGATCTCAAGTAAACTTAATGTAGTAAACAGAACTAATTCAGGCTTAAAATTTTCTTTAAATATTGATCAGTCCTCATCAAACAACATCAGTCAAACCAATACACTGTGTAAGAGTTGCACGGATCTACCATAATTTATTTTAAAAATCCAAAGCCAATCAATAATATTAAAAATTGTAGAAAGAGCATAAATTCACTAGAGTAGGTAATTTGAATTTTGTACTAAGATATCACTGAAGTTTACAAAATTTATTTACTGTCTTTTTCAGGGCTAATTTCATTACCAACCACGAAGAAACAAGCTGATGAATGTTACTTTAGTCAAGAGACAAGTTTTACAACTAAACTGAATTAGTCTTCAGCACTGTACATCATTTCTGGGAGGGGGAAAAAAAAAAAAAAAAAAAAAAAAAGAGAGCTTTCAGGTATATTCCCTTTCCAGCTGATAAGTAGGAACATCCTGCCCTATGTTTGAATTTATTTAAAATGCATACTGTATTATTCTACACCCTCCTACACTAACAGAAAGCAGGAGCTTTAACAATGGTAGTGTTGTGCCCTTATATTTAACACCCTGGCTAAAGCAGAGCCCACTCAATCTATAAACACAGAAGCACACTACGCAGACTTCATCATTAGCATGTTTTGAACCCAAATATAAGCACACTAAGACAGTGTAACTGTATAAGCATTCTTGTACTCAACTGCCCAGTAAAAAAAGCATGGCCACTGCTCTAACAGGCCACAGACCTTTCACTACCTATGCCTTATACTAGCCATGCCCTCATTCTGGTCCATTAGCCTTCTTATTAACTTAGGAGAATTCGCTATGAGAACTGGAGATTGATACCAGGCATCTCTTGTTAGGAGATAAAATTTATGCGTGGGATAACAGCAAAGGCCTTGAAAACATTGGCACAGGTTGAAAGCTAAGGCCTCAGAACTACAAACAGCTCACTGATGGCAATTACTGGTCATTGAGAAAGTACAGCCTCAAGAGCTGGGAAAAGACTGCTTTAGTTTCAAGAAAAGCAGCAGCAGGAAAGCAAGAAGAAAAACAATTAACATGAAAACCTCAGCCTTGTAACATGATAAAGCACTTGCCATGGCTTGGGAAAGTAACTCCATGTTCCCAAACATTACGCAGCTAGTAGTCCAGGACAGAGACCAAGGGCTGGGAACAATCTAGAAACTCAAATATCTTATTTAAGGATAAGATCCCAAATTAGGGAGGGCAGGGGAAAGAAAAAAGATGCCCACCACAGTTCCAGCTTCCCTAATCAAAGAGTTCTTCAGCCTGGCAACTTCAAAGTCATCAATGACTAAGACTACGAAGGACCACAGCCATTGGAGCAGTGCAGTTTTGCATACACACAGCTCGCATAGGGTAAGGTCAAGGACTGACTGCTTTGAATACACAGTGATAGCGATTAATAATGTCTAAGAATTGTTAGTAGGAAGTGTGCTGTTTCTGAATGTCAGTCAAAGTGCTGCTTAAAGGACTAAAACTGGCCTGATTTATCAGTCTTCTGAACACCCCCATCACTGTAAGATCTAACTGGCATGTATATGCTTGTATTCAGTTGCAACAGCCCTTACGGCTATAGCGCAAATAAAGATAGGAGATTTATGAACAGCTGGATCTGATCAAGAAGCATCAATATATAAACTCCCAGGTAATATGGCAATACCCCAAGAGCAAACACGATAAGATAGAAGAAAAGCAAGTGGCACCATATTTATGAACTGTCTAAATCATAATTTAGAAGCAGGACAGGGAAGAGTTAGCAAAATGTATATCCAAATTTCATTTATACTTTTGAAAGTTAAATAAAATACACCTTTGAATAGCTCATCAAAGGATAAGAGTAATTCCATTTGACAAGCTTCTGCTTTAACATTGGACAGCAAAACCCTGAAGTACACCTTTTATAAGGGACACAACTAAGAACTTCCTTAGCTGAAGATAATAAGATGAAATATTTGAAAAGGTGAGACTGCAGGCCATTGTGAGAGGTTACTGGCCTTGTTGAGCTCTCTTCTAATTTTCTCCGGACCAAACTGATCAAGGAAACGTCTGAAGTGAAATGCATCTATAGCAACAATTTCAGTGTAGCGTCGCTGCCATTCATCCCTAAAATTGGAGGGAGGAGAAAAAAAATAGATGACATTAGTTGTTTAATATTGGCTATATAATCATGATGCAAAGTGAGCAATTCCCTGCAGAGCTTCTCTGTTAGAAGCAGATAGAAAGGTGAGCTCATAACAGACAATGGAGCACATTTTTTCCTTGCAGGCTGGGAATGAAAGCAGCATCAGAAATGAGACAGGTCTAAGTTTAGAAATACTCTGGCTAGACTTTGGGCATAAATGTGAAACAAATCTAATTAGACAGCGCTATTTGTTAAGTATGTAAGAACACCACAAGGTCAAAGAAAAGCACTTTGGCTCTCTGTCTTCCTCCAACATTTAAATGAGAATACTTTGTGTATGTTTCTATACCAAATGAATAATTTTGTGTTTACACTATGACAACATTGTTGGAGAAATAAATTCAAGAGCTCAGAGCTTTCTACTCAGATTCATGATGTCAAATCTTATTTTACCACACATCAGCTGCACTATGGCACCTGAGGTACTACTGTCAAATTTCTTGTGATGTTACAATCCACAGTTCAGTCAGTATTTTAAGAAAAATTTGGATTAAATACATATAACTGTAAAAGATGATGTTTTAAGAACTGACATATTGGCAGGTACTACTTATTAACATTAATATCTCATTATTAATAGGAGATAACTTTCTTAGTTTGTTGGCTCTACTGAAGAGAGCAGGATCAAACAGTCAGACTCTCTATTAAGGCAAATGCTAGGAAATACTTAAAGCAGCAAGTTTTCAAATTTGTAACATTGATTACGTGCAACTTTACCTTGGAGTCTTATCTTCATGGCTTCTGGCCCACCGGTAAGTTTCTGCATAGCCTGTATACTCACTGAACTGCTCAGTACCTGAAACAAATGATTTTCCATATTGCATACAAAATAGGTATGTATTTTTTCACTTGGCAAATCTTTCATCGGAATCACTGCTTCTCCGAATGAACACGCTGCTCTCAGAAGCAATGGAAAACAGACTTTCATATCTGCACCAAGAATACAAAATCTTCTTGTAACCAGTAGAAGCTTCTTTTCCATAGATGATGTGTAGCATTCACCATAGAACACTACAAGTGCAGATCTATGTATGCTGTCCAGTATATAACAAGAAGGTAGTTTTCAACTTTGCCACTCAAGTTCCATAGGTTCTTAGTAAACTGCCTGTCATCTTTAAAGTTTTACTGGCTAATATTTGGTTAATGAAGACTGTGAGCCTTCATTCCACCAGCATTTCACTTTTCTTTTTTGAGGTTACTACTTGTAAACATGATTATAAAACAGTCGCTCCACTATTGAAAACACAGCAACCTTACTTCATCACAATTTAGCAAACATCTGGGCTGAAAGTTGAGGAAACATAAGAAGAAAAATATAAAGAGATTCAAAAGTGTATGTGGCAAGCTGTATGTTTATACATTTTATTTCTCTAACAAAATTAAAATCCATAAAGCCAAAGAAAACCCTGATGGTCAGAAACCAAGCAGATTTCCAACATGTTGGCATTACCCAGTTGGTTGCCCTACAGCCTCTTGACAGCAATCTTAAGGGTAGCTAGGACTGTTAAGATTCCTGGTCTCATTGCCCAATACACCTCTTTCCATTGTTATAATTTTGTTTTACATTTGTTCAGCATGATTTCTGCACTATGGTTCCTGACACGAATTCTCAGATATCACAGCAATTAATGGCACTGAATGGACCGAAAGGCCACTGCTCTCAGCGGTCAGTACCAAAGGGCTATTTCTGTAAAAGCTTGAGACCACAAAGCCATGGTCTGGAACATACTTGGCTGCTCTGTGAAAGCGTCCAGCAGGGTATTTTGGCAAGCATCGAGGGCTATAAGAAAGTAGCTAATTAAGTTCACCAGTAATTTCAGCTACCATGCTCTGCTATGCCAAGTCCTTTTCAAAGTCTTATCCCAAGACCAAGGAGAGCATCTTAGCTGAGAGTAAGGACCATAACCTTTCTAAAAAGGCTGTGTTTCACCTCACTTTACCGAGCTTCAGGACCTTGCTTCAAAACATGGGGATCCACAAATGCTTCAAAGAGCTACTTCTAAAGTAACACCACAGCAAAATCACAACTTTTCCTCCTGTTTGAGCTTGCAACAGCTGAATTTCAAAAGTAGAGGACTGAAAAGAACACTTTGTTTGCAAAATTTCAGCTCATTACAGGTACAGTTTGGCACAAGCCACAAACAGCAAGAGTAAAAAGAGAACTGTTAAGCAATCCCTTAATTACAAACAGTAACACCAGCTATGCTCATAAAGGTAACAGAAAAATAGGTTTTAGAAAGATGTGTAAGCTGACAGCACAAGACATCTAATCACTGAGACAAGAGAAATCACTAACTACTGCACAGATTGGTGATACTCTGAGAACACAAATGTTTAAATTTAATTCTAAAGTTTTTCAATCTCTAAGTAAAAATAAAAGTTGAACAATCAGAAACATAAAACTATCCAATTTAACCTCATCTGACAAAAGAATGTGAATGCTTGCTTTCAGTAGTCTCAAGCATAGGAAACAATCTGTTAAAACAATGCATGTACTTCAAGACATTTTCCCCATTTACCCAAATTCATTTTAACTGAAAAGACTCAGCACTTCTTTAACTCATCTGCCCTAATATCCACTCACTATTTACTTCCATTTGTCTAGATGATTAACTATACTGAGAGCACACAAATTCCACTCAAGGCTATTTTGAAAAGTTGCTATGCAAACTGAGTGGGACGGTAAGAGATTTCTCACCAAGAATTCACTTCCTGTTACAAAATCAAAGCCCCCCAAATTGTGATGGTAGAATATGCCTATATAGTCACACACATCCATGCCCTCGTACAAAGGACAACTGTGAGCACCTTAAATATTCAGAAGTCAGCCTTCTAACTGAATTGTAGGCTATCAACCTTCAGTAAGACTTTTCCTGACAGAGGTAAAATTCAGTTGTACTGATATGCTTGGAAAAAAGTGCCTGAGCATGCAGTAAGGGAAGACAGACAAGGGAAGCATGTGACTTTTCTGAGAGCTCTCTTTACGTGACAACCTAGCAAAACTTTCAGTTCTGAAAAGGAAGCATTTGAAAAGACAAGACTAGGTTATAAAGATATTGTAACAGGACAGATTAAATGATCATCAAAGTATTAATCTGACTTTTTCAAGGGTCATTGTTTTCATTAATTTTTATGGAAGTGCAGTGTCTGATGATGAAAGCACCAGGAAACAAACAAATTCACACACACACACATACATATAAAAAAAAAAAATCAATAACAGAGAAACTCAAAGAAATTAAAAAAGTCAAAGTTAATTAAAATCAATAGGTTTTCATAAGTGAAGCTCAGACAAAAATGGTTATTTAACTGGCAGCACTTTTGCCTGGGAACTACTGGGATACAAACTGCTATTGCTGGGAGAACAGCAGCAGTATAGGATAAACTGGATATGCTAATGTTTCTGGTGTATCTTTTTTCTTCCCATAAAAAAAAAAGGGGGGTAAAAAAAGCCAAGCCACAAATACAGCCTAATAGCACAGTTCCATCAGAACTTTAAAAACAAGCTAGAAAACCTAAGAAAGCCTACAGTCAAAAGAAAGTATATACAAGTTCAATTCAAAAATACATTCTCTGTGAAACTTTTAAGAGTTACAGCATCAGACAAACAGTGAAATTGCCAAATGTTATCGCTTATGGGACTTCATCCATCTAGAAAGAGTTGCAATTATTACTAAAAATGAATATACTTTCCTCAGACTCCGTAGTCTAGCTTTTCATTTGCATACGATCTGTATAGCATTATAAAGTTCCCAGGGATTGGGAAAAATCCCACCATACTGTCCTTCTAGTATTTCTGGTGAGCTAGAGGTTATACCTCTGAAGAGGCAGTACCACTATCACTGAATAAAATGGAGTATATGTGAAAAGCACACGAGTATAGTTTTGTAGCCACCAATGTAAGTGCACATTTACTGCCAAAAGTGAGGATAAGGTCCTTCTCTCCCTTTCAATCAGTTCTTGTGATCCTTATCTTATGCCACCATTAGTTTTCTGGCTGTCCAGACAATGGCATGGTCAGCCTGTTAAATCCAGCTGAAAAAACAATTTTTCCCCTCTGAGCAAATTTTCAGCTGAACCAATTATCTGATCTTATTTACTGCACGCATAATGGGCTTAGAAGTCTCTGAAACTGCATTGCTGAGATGCGGTCAGGACTGGCTGTTGTTCAGTCTGTAGATATAAAGCAAACATGGAACACAAAAAAACTGAATGAAAAATACTGATGCTTATTCACAGCTCTACCGGAAATGCAGCTGTGGGAATCTTTGGCATTGCTGCTGACATTTCTGTAGGTAGATGTCTGTGTTGAAGAACTTGACTGTTTACACAGCCGGTTTCATATTCATTACAGCAGTGATCTTAACCAGATACTGTGCAATCACAACAAATTTAATTTCTCTCCATTTACTCAGACTCTTCTGCAAATTTAAGCTATACAGTCATACCCATTAGGCCGCTGAGTCAAGGTGCATCACAAAGAATGTAATTTATCAAGAGGATTGTGACACGCAGTGGAGACTTGGCTAAGAACCAAGGTGGAAGAGCTCCAGGGATGAAATTAAAATGATGGAACAGCCATTTCCATTAGAGAAGATGACCATATCACAAATACTAATTGTGAAACACTATAAAGTACAAGAAAACGGAAAAGAATATTGCCTCAGTGAAAAAACATCCTCACCTTTATTTGTTCATGCCAAATCACTATTTTTTTTTCAGGAAAAGGAAGAAGATCTTTCAAAACATTCATTTAGTGTTTTCCCACCATCAGTTATTACACAGACCGATAGCTGTGCTCTGTTTTCACCCTACCCAAAAGGGCCTCACCCGGAGGACAGTACCTCAATACGTTAATCTTGTTATATACACAACAGAAATCAGTGGTGGCCAAGAATTTCTGACTCATTTTTAAAAAAGGTAATCACAAAAGCCAATATACGAAAGAGTTTTCACAGAAAACGCACTAATTTTGGCAGGGTGGAAAAAAACCCCCACAAAACCAAAACACTGCCTTAAGAAGATTAACAAGTGTAAGACTGAAAACAAGATGCTCTGCCCAGTACAATCAATAGCTCAGGACAGAGTAAGATTTGCAAGATCTAAACTCAAATTTCTACTGTGCGTACACATGAGAGAAAGAAGTGCTTTGGAGAGACTTTTACAAAAAATGTGTTCCAAGACCTGTACAAATTCCTGACTGTTGAGGCACCTCCGGTAACTAAAACCAACGCTTTTACTGTAGCAGACAAAAATATAAAATATACATACTCTATTACAATATCTGCCCAGAGGATACCTCCAATGCAGTATCTTTTCTTTATAGCTGTTCTTCGGAGTAAATAAAAAATATATTCTAACATAATTTTATTTTTCAGTCATGAAAAATGCTCACTGTGTTCCTGTGTACAGAACTGACACACACAGCATGACCTGGGTCTCTCCAGTTTTTAAAAGTGACATTTGGTGTTTTGATGCTAACTGTTTTGATCCAATGGATAATAAAACATTCCAAGTTCTATGACAGAGGCAGAAACAAAAACACTGTCAGCAAAGCACTGGGCAGACAGCACATCTCCATACCCAGCCCCTCAACAACATATACTGCAGAAGCAGTTAGTTTTTGATGTTATAACTACGAACTCATAACTAACTTACGAGGAACACAAACACTTGTCTGTAACTTACGAGATCAAAATCTTGAAGAGACATTTCCTGACGTTCTACCCTTTTTAATGGGTGTTGATTTTCTCTTATTACACTTCCTCCCCTTTTTGGTAACCAGAAGGAAGTTCCTCTTCTCACAAGTTTTCAATCTCACTGATCACATCAAATTTTACAAATTCCAGTCTGAACAAAAAAATCCCCCTGCTTTATTTAAGGTAACAGAAGCATTACCTGCTAATAGCTGGGAACAGCTAACGGCTGGTAATTGTGGCTTTTGCATATACTGCTCAACAGTATTCTTTAGCTAGGCCTAAAGACAGAGTCCTTAAACACATTTATATAGGATAAGAAAAAGTTCTGTCTGCTTGCTGTAACTTTTGTTTTTGTTTCGTTTCCTTCACAAAACACATATTGGAACAGTGGCCCTATGGTCTTAAATGGTGAAGAAGAAAGCTCTTTGTCAAATGAGTATTGACTTTCGTCTTTTTTTTTTTTTCCCCCTACAGCATTTAAATACACTAAACTTCAACTTGAAATATATTTTCTACATATAAAACCAGAATAAGATGTGAAACATCTTCTGCAGAGACTAACCTGTGATGATAAGACATTCATTGTGATCCAGGACTTCCGTGATGAGCCTTGATACAATCAATTCTGGGTTGATTAAAAAACGGATTTCTTCTTGTACTAGTCCTGCCCCAGTCACACCACCTCCAACAAAACGGTTTGCAAAATCAACCTAGCAAAAATATATTCAAGGAGGATTATAAAATAAGCAAACAGCATATATTCCTTTTGTTTACTGAGGTAAATAAAATCCTGTACAAATTTCAATAATTCTGTTGAAAACTGCTGCTAGCACTTAAAAATACAAGCAGCAGGACAGAACTTGATCAACAGCACGCCTTCCTCTTTTTTCCTCTCAGAAAAAATAAGGGAGACATGACATGCCAAAATAAAGTTTTGCATCTCAAATGCTCTGAATCCAAGTTTAGTGGATTTTGTTTGAAAAGCATATATTTTAGAATAAAGAACATTTCAGTAAATGTGAAAGATTACAACAGCAAATTACAATATTCTTTTTGCATTTTATGGACATCAAAGAATGAAGTTGTCTTTTAATAAGCATTCTGCCCTGGCTGTGCACACTGAAGCATTTTTAGATTAGCCCCTGCACCTAAAAGAATCTCTTACGAATTCTCCTTGGAATGCACTTGAACACCGGTATGCAAGTCATTTTGATCATTAAGGTTTCTGCTTGAAACAGAGAAGCTCTGGACTCTTATTTTTTTGCCACAATAATACATATTTTGCAAATTATGTTTTTATATAGACAACAGTTTTAAAAGGATTTAGTTTAGTCAATAAAGTGATACCTATTTATGTAAATTAACTGCCCATATAAAGTTATAATCTAAAAAAGTCACTTGATCTTTCAAATGCTATTAGCTTCTTACTGATTTTTATTTGATAGCTGATGAGAGCATATTTACAGGAGAGGAACCAAAGCTGCTGGAGTGACATGAACATCTTTCTAGATTACAAACTGATTCAGGAGTCAGAGTCAAGCCAAGAGCACAATGAGAGCTGGCCAACACAACAGCAAGCATTCCTGAAGCCTCTGCTGGAAATATCAACACACTTCAGTTGTTTAAGATTTGCTGAACTTGACTATGATACAAAAAAAGTAACATTAAGCTACTCAAACATTCAGTGCGTCAGGGCTCCAAATGCACTTTAACTGCCGAGTAGCCTCACCTTGGGCCCACATCCTCGCCCCCGGCAGACGGCCCCTGTACAAGCACACACCCTTGTCCTGGACCTCGCACGAGACACAGAGTGTGTGGGCCCATGCCCAGCCCTGTCCTCTGCTGATGCCCACTTGACAACTGGACATCTAGGACTGACCTCAGTGACCTGACTCATCACCTTGCCTGATGACCACCAGTCTGTCAGCAGAAACTATTGTCACCAGCCCTCCTCTCCTTGTCCCAGACAGCAACCCTGCTCACTGAGGCTGAGGTCAACTGGGGACTGCTGCATTGTCTTGAGTTGGTCATCCTGCTCCCTTCTGGAGTGAGTGCTCTTCATCTCAGCAGAGATTTTTTTATTTGGTAAGACTTGAAATAGCCAGGAGGAAAACATATCACATCCTAGGCAATATTCACTTTTACACAGTGCAACAGAAACAGTACATGAAAAGGCATAATTCAATCTTCTCTCACCTCTGAGGTTATAGTTGAATAGACAGACAGCAGAAAAATGGTTATTATTGAGCAGTTGCTGAGTCCTTAATAATTTCAATACATATCTGAGTGCTCAAGTTTCAGAAAGTTATAAGATATTTTAAGCAAAAAGTATCACCAAAAAATCCTCCTATTCTCCCTCCTCCTCTTCCTTTGCAGCACTTGTTCCTGGCTAAAGAAGTTGTACTTTTTTTTTTTTTTGTTAACAAACTCTAGAAGGTAGACTTTTTTTTTTTTTTTTTTTTTTTTTTTAAGAAAAACAAAAACCAAACAACTACTTTGAAAACTCAAATCTGTTCCTTGCTATAATATGGACAGGACATCCTCCTTATGAATTTCTTTTGCTGACTGCCTCCCAGACCAAAACAGATGTGCTGGCAGCAGCAAGAAAGTCTCCTGAACCACTGACCTGGTCACTGTACGGGGCACAAGAATAATTTTTCAAAAATAAATTGAAACCCTTGACAACTCATCAAGATCACAGCCTGAAACTTTTACCTGTCAATCTTTGATCCTGGTTTGAACCAAAAGACCTGAAGCTGTCCATGGCTTGTGATTTTCTGTCAGCTCTCTCTACCAGGTAGAAGTGCAAACCTAGATGAGCTGGGGAATATTGACAGTACTAAGACTGCCTGTGGAATTAATGTTGATGTCTCTTTTACACTGCATAACATCTTGTCATTTAGTCAATTGATGATAAACAAATAACTTTGTTAAGCTAGCAGACCATAAAAATGACAAAAACATGACAAAGCCACATTTACTGTTATATGTGCTTACCTGTAGCATACCTTGTCCATTGCTTTCGATGGTGCCTTCATAGGTGACATGCAATCTAGACAGTTTTTTCTGCGATCTATCATTGAGGAAAAATATTGTACAGAAAGGATGATTACAGACACTCATTTTAAAAGAACAGCCATTCAAACCTAAACTTCTTACACATAAACATAAAATGGTTTAAAAACAGCCCCTGATGGGATTAAAGAAAATGCATTTGCCTTTCAGAAACAATTTGTAAAGGTTTAACATAGTCAATTGTTCAGTTTCACCTCTTTCGCCATAAAACCCCAAATCTGAAACTGAAGTTCTAAGTTTTTCACACAAGTGTGTCCCACATTAACTTGCTAACCAGCAAGAAAGCTGCAACACTTGTTTTCCTGCTGGTTATCACCCATATTTCATTATATTTCCTGTAATTTCCAAAATCAAGTCACCTCTCTTTTTCCCCACTCAAGCGACAATACCAAAGATGTGCTACTGTTTTAAAAATTCACTTAAGACTTGTTGGTTTCACAGGCAAACAAACATACTGAAAAACTCAGGGCACTCAAACTACTTGTGGCCCACTTCCCTCTGTATCTCTCCCCATAACAATCCATATCAAACATTGTTTTCTGTAGTACTTCCAGGCCTGAATCAATTCCATATGAATGGGATTCGGTTATCATTGATTTAAGAAACATCTTACATTAACAGGATGTTTGACCTACCTTTCCCAGTCTGGAAACTCCTGGAGGCACTGCCTTGTAAATGTCACCAATCCCGTAGGTTCTACAGGCAAACCAACCCCAGAGGAAAATGTATTAACTACTGGAGCTTTAGTCCTTAGATTATTTTAAGTGGTAAGCTTTTACAATTACAACAAACATCATTCTTGGCAGGAACACAAGAGCTTAACTTTCCTCAGAAGCAGCTTTGAATCTTCCCCTGGCAGCCCATGCTCAAATAGAACATGAAGACCAAAATACTCACTTCTCCCTTTGGAGTTGGAGTACTTTTCTTTTTCCAGATCAAGGAAAAACTATTTCTTAAGTGATTTTCACTTAAACTGTAATCACTACTAGAAAGACTTGATAGTTTAAGTAAAATGTGCTGCCACTTAGAAAAAAAGAGATTGTGAACCTTTAGAGGTGACCACTGTCCAGCATCAACAGGCAATGCATGGAGTAGTCAGCCTACGGATGGATGAAGCAGCAGCAATTATTTCCAAGAAAGTCTTACTACATTAGTAAAGATGCAGCATTAATGGATTCCAAATCAAGCAGATTTCAGCCCTGCCAGGATGCTAGTGAAATTCACTGTATTTCAACTGAGAAAAGACTCCTGCCCCCACGAGAAAAAGATGAGCCATGGCAGGAAAGATACATTATCTTCTCTCCTTAATTTTACTCAAAAAACCTCAGTTTTGCAACAGAAAGAAAATATCAACCTTTTATCAGGTGATTTCATCCTAATATAAACTTTGTTCGAGACTCATTTCTTTACTCCAGTAAGTCTGCTGCGCTGGCTTGTGAAAAACACTCAGTATGCAAAGCACAAACATGTCCTTCTAAAAGCCTTAAATAATCCAGTGCTTTTCTTCAAAATTATAGGGGTTTAGGAAAAAAAAGGGTTGCTTGCTCTTAAAAAAGAAAAAGCGCACAGCTTTCAGTAATCAAGTGCTTTTCCGCAAGGGAACTCTTGGTATCAGTGGCATTATTTTACAAATTAAGCATTCGCCTTTTGAGCACAAACTCTTCAGCTGATACAGTCTCCACTGTGCTCTTCTACAAGGAATTAAATTACTATGGTAATTTACAGAGCTAAGTTACTTCAGTCTTACTAATTCCTTGGACTTAGAGAACAAGGAATTAGTAAAAGAGAACAAGAAATTGTGTCTTTTAAAGGTATGATAGGAATTTCTAATTCAAGAACAAAGCATTCAAGAATCTCATTAAATATTAAAGTTATAATGTTAAGAAATTTAATACAGCAGTTTCATAAAGCACATTCCATACAGATTTCAAATGCACAGGGGGTCAATGACAGCTGCATAAATTTAAGATTTGGTTTGCATGAAAACATTATTACTCAAATATAAAACAAAACCGGTACACTATATCTCTTCAGTCCCACACATAGATCACAATTTACTTTCTATCTCAAGAGATATAGTTCTATTCTCATTGCTGAAAACTTGATAGCTGAAACAGAATGTAGCTGTATTTAATTTGTGGTGAATTAAAATCATGAACTGAAAATGGAATGAAGCAAGTAAAGGGATTTTTATATTTAATAGCTTAAAGCTGTCTTTCTTTTAAAACAAACCATTTTTCAGATTTTTGAGAATATGAAGCTAATAGTGAAATACCGATATGCAAAGGAAAAAACCTTTAAAAAATACTGTAATAAGGATATTGCTGCAGATGTGATGTATGCTACTGCAGTAAAATCTCTTTCTCCCCCAAAATACAATATATAAGCTCTGGTACAGTTCTCACAAAAATAAAACTGTTTTTGAAGGCTTATGCAGATGTTCAAATTCATGGTAAGAACAGAAGATCTGACCAAGCACACTAAGGAAAATATCACACTAACTTCTAAAAGAGTCAGGGATATGTCATGTCTTGCTATCACTTGTTTCATTTGAACTGGGTAAACTTCACAAAAGCTTTGCTTTGGAAAAATAGAAGGGAAAAACCTGAAATGTCAACACAAGTAGGGGAAAATCTCTCAGAACTACAAACACAGTCAGAAGACTGAATGTGCATACTGCAGGAAATGTGAAGCTTGACTCTGAATCTTTAAGCCTGGGATTTTAATGACTACATACAGTGCTAAGTTCCCTCTACATTCTCACTCTGATACAGTGCAGCAAGTAGTTCCATGTACTACAAATGTTATATATATATGTGTGTGTGTATATATATATATATATAATGGGGACAGAAAATGTATCTCTATATATTTTACACATACCCCTATACATATATGTATCTCTAAAAAAAAGAAAACAGAATAAGCTCTGTGCAAAAAATTTAATGGCATCCATCATCTATATGAGAAGTGACATTAATATGAGTATCAGTGTACTTAGCAAGCTGGCTTTTGTTACATGTTTCCATCATAATGCTGCATAGCCATTTCTAAATTTCATGGGATTAAATTTTTCATGTATTTGCTTCGAGCTTAAAAAAAAGAATAGAGGATTACTTTTTTCTGTGACTCTCCTAAAATAGCAGAAAAGTGTCTTAAGTTTCTCAGGTTTCTTTGGTGACCGTCCTTCAAACAATCTGAAAAACAAGAAATAAAAGCAAATAATTAGATTTCAGGGATGTAGGCATAGTAATTGGGCTACTTAGGAATCGTGATTTGATTTTTTTTGACATATTTTGATTAGCCTTGCATTTCAATCATAGAATCATCATAGAATGGTTGGGGTGGGAAGGGCCCTTAAAGCCCATCCAGTTCCAACCCCCCTGCCATGGGCAGGGACACCTCCCACTAGACCAGGTCACTCAAAGCCCCATCCAGCCTGACCTTGAACACTGTCACAGAGGGAGCAGCCTCAGCTTCTCTGGGCAACCTCTTTCAGTGCCTCACCACCCTCACAATAAAGAATTTCTTCCTAATAGCTAATCTAACTCTCCCCTCTTTCAGTCTGAAACCCTTATCCCTCATCCTATCACTACCCTCCCTGACCAAAAGTCCCTCCCCACCTTTCCTGTAGGCCCCCTAAAGGTACTGGAAGGCTGCTATAAGGTCTCCCTGGAGCCTTCTTCACGCTGAAGAACTCCAACTCTCTCAGCCTGTCCTCACAGGGGAGGTGCTCCAGCCCCCTGAGCATCTTCATGGCCTTCCTCTGCCCCGCTCAAACAGGTCCGTGTCTTTCTTGTGCTGGGGGCGCCAGAGCTGAACACAGCACTGCAGGTGGGGTCTCACCAGAGCAGAGCAGACAGACAGAATCCCCTCCGTCGACCTGCTGGCCACGTTGCTCTTGATGCAGCCCAGGATGCGATTGGCTTTCTGGGCTGCAAGCGCACATTGCCGGCTCACGTTCAGTCTTTCATCCACCAGCACCCCCAAGTCCTTCTCCCCAGGGCTGCTCTCGATCCACTTATGGCCCAGCCTGTGTCTGTGCTTGGGATCTCCCTGATCCAAGTGCAGGACCTTGCACTTGGCCTTGTTAAACTTCGTGAGGGGTGCCTGGACCCACTTCTCCAGCCTGTCCAGGTCCCCCTGGATGGCCTCCCTTCCCTCCAGTGTGTCAACCACACCACACAGCTTGGTGCCATAGGCAAACTTGCTGAGGGTGCACTCAATCCCACTGCCCAGATCACCAATACTTTACCGTGGAAAGAGCTCTCTAGACAGACCCTTTGTAACATGGGTCTCGAGTAGCAGCAAGCTTGTTCCCTTGCTAAGTTTGACGAAGATGCTAAACAATTGCCTATCTCACTCATACTAATTCTGTAACGTCAAAAAAATGTCATTTCAATACGAACACCCAGGAAAGTTACCAGTTTTATTTGCAACAGACTGGCTTGGATTAAAAGAAGTGACCAAGTGATGAAAACACGTATGTTGAGTACTCCAAGATCCAAATGTCTTGCCCTACTTTCAGCTCAGTGAGTTGCAGAGATGAATTAATGCAACCATATTGCTTTCAAGAGTTGCACTGCACCAGCAGCATTCATAAAGAAAAGAACTTACCCCCAACAGAAACAGCTTCATCCACTGAGCTACTACTGGCATTCTAACTTTCATCTGTAAAAACCTAACCATTAAAAAGAAACATCCTATTTTTAGCCACTAAGTGAATGTATTCTTTTAAGGTTAGATGAAATACTTTTACTGCATCATCTTGCCTTCCAGCAACTGGAACATGTATTACTTAATTTCACTTCCAACAAAGTGATAAGGCATTGTTATTGACAACACATAATGGAATTTTTCTGGAAGGAAGAATAGCAGTGACTTCAGAAATAATATCCTTTGAGTAGGACATTCACTAAAATATGTCTGATACAGTGAAAGCCCTGAGGACATAAGATTCCCCCCAATAAACAGTCTAAGTAAAGGAACGACACAACATTATTTCTTTCTATATACTGGAATGACAACCAGCCTTTAAAACCAGAATGCTGTCAGGTGAATTTAGCTTTCAGTAGTGAAGTGAACCAGATTTTTTCAGTATTTAAAAATTCTTATGAAGCATACATCCTGAAGACACCAATTTCATCCAAAATCTATAAAGTCACAGAAGCTAATTTAAAAAAAAGGTTAAAAAGGTTTTGTGAAAACTTTATTCTTTTAACAACGAATAAGGAGTTTAAGAAGGCAAACTCCAGACTTATACACTCTATTTTAAAAGGGGCCAATATGCAAGTTCTATCAAGGGGTTGCGCTTGCATAACTCAAGGGGTTCGTAAAAGAAAGAGATGATGTGTCTCTGTGTGCAGGTCTTGCCTAAATACATGATCTCTAAACTTTTATCTGGAAGACTCATTTGGTATGAATCCTTTAAATTGGTTGACTGGTTAATCTACTAGACCAGTCATGCTTTTACTAGTTTTTTTGCCTCTTTACATCAAATTGAAATCTTGCTTATGTTGCAAACTCTCAGGAGAGAGTTCTTCATGTCACAAAGGTGATACATGATTCGACATAACCAGCAGACAAGGCAGGAGAAGTCCAGAACTGGAAAAATCTATGCCTGAAATAAGTCAGATCAAGCTAAAAGGCAATGGCAAGGCAGATGAACTTGGTTTTATGCATTGTAACTACTCACAAAAGGCAATCACTCTGTCGAGCAGGGAATTTCAACAATTTTTTTTTTTTTAAAAAAAAGTCTGAATCATTCAACATTAGCCTGTCTTTTCTCTTGTTGCAAGCTGTGATAACTAACTTTTCTGTATCCTCTGGGATCAAAGCTAAAGTAAGGCTGATTTGCTTCTGAAAAATCTGATTTACAGCAGATAAATATTCCCAAAACACCATCTATAATTACTATAATGAGAACAGATATCTGTATTTCTGTTCTAGCCTTATATAGCTGGGTAAAAACCACAGGGCATCACAAAAGAATTTGAAAAGCTCTGGATTCTGGCATAGGCATCCCTTGTTGTAAAGGGATATTCCATACAGTGGGGATAGAAAGATACTGTGGCATTCAAAGTTATCTGTGTTTTGACCCAGCAGCTATATGCATCCAGTTACAGCACGCATCAGATCATCTACAGCAGTTAGCCCAAGAGCTCTCATCACCTTTCTCCTCATAGTATTTGCTTTTCTTTGCTATGACATAACAGAAATTGTACCTTCTTTTTGAAAATCCACTGTTAAACACTTTTTTTTTTTAATTTAAAATAACAGTGGGCAACACCAGTCCTGCACACATTTTAAGACTGAATCCACCACAAATGTTTGTCCAAAACAGAACACGCTCATAAAAGCATAGCCATTTATGGCAGGTTGAAGACACCATGTCTTACGATTAATACGCTTGGATTTACTTCATATTTTCTGTGTCTAGCATTCACCTTTATTAGTGAGCTAGCGGCAAACTGAAGAAGGCTATCTGCAACCATGATTAGGAATTTGTTTTAAGGCCCATCAGACCAGTGGAAAAATCCCCACAGATTTTAATGGGCTACAAATTAGCCTTAAACCCTCATAGTATCTAACTATTTAAAGGTATTGATATTCATTAAGTTGAAATTAATTGCTTCATACATTCTTTTAAATTTCCACAGAAATCGTATCATAATGACATCAGCGATTCAGAAGACTTCCACCAAGCTATACCAAAGACAGAAGAAAAACACAAGAGAAAAACCAGGACACACACCCCCCACCACACACAGGCAGCCAAGCTTGCTTAAGCATAGCACAAAGTAACCAGTCATCTTCGTGAATGCAACAGTAAAAGCAAGTGGTATTTACCACAATCAAAAATGGCCCAGTCCTGCCCCATTAATCTGAGGATGTAACATGGCAAAGTTATGAACATTTTAACCTTGAACCTTACTTCTGAAATGATCAATTAGGGAACATCATGAGAAGTTTTATTTCTGAACCAAATATCTCCTCTTATTTTGAGGAACCAAGCTAGATGAGGGCACCAGTAAGATAAAAAAATAAAATTCTTCCTCAAGCTCTGAGACACAGATTCTACAAAAAAAAACCCCACACCCACAACCCCATACCCAAAAGCCTAAGTGGAAACCACATAATCAATCTCCTGAGAGAAGAACCTGAGGCCAAAACCCATTAATTCCAATTAAAGAACTCATCCAAATGAAGTGCACTGTAAATCAAATGCAGAGCACTGCAAGCCCACTTTCAGTCGAAGTAATTGAAATATTACTGGCAACTGCATATGTAAGCGGTTTTGCTTTGCACAAGATGTTCCCACTGCCATCAGCTAACTTCAATTTAGCAGACAGAGGAGCTAAGAAAGCTTGCAGGGCTGATCACCAAACACAGCTGCAAATTTATCTCTGGCTCTCCGGCTTTCAAGCTAGGGTAGCAGCAATGTTAATCAAAGACAAGACCTTTACAGAGGTACACTTAAGTATTCAAGGAATCAAGGTCAGAGATTTAAAAACATAAGCAAGCAGATGTGTGAACAGCGTTGTAAACACAAAGCAGATTCTTAAAGTCATTGTGGCTAAATTAAAAATTTTTCCTAGCAAATATTCAGACACTTAATTCAATTGTTCTGAAGAGAAAACCTATCTGAGAAATAAAAGGTTAAAAATAGTTAAAAACTGGGAAAGTGTAAAAAAAATTTTCTTTTAGATTACTTTACAACTGTGAGTAAACATAGAATAGTTACAAGGCAATAGTTTATACTATTTCAATAATTACAAAAACATGCACATTTGCACTACTGTTTTCCTAAAATTTTAGGGTGGAAAAAAGCATTTTTAAAGTGTAATCTCATTGACTGCAAACTCAAAATTGTCTTATTTTCAACCAACATTTCCACCTTAGAGAAAGCTGGAGCCAAAAGCTCTAAAGAACCTGCTCTGAAGTCCTTCGAGTGCTAAGCAACAAATCTGCAAGCTACTTCAAAGGGTGCATTTCCAATGACGCAACATCAACATGATTTAACAGCATTACGAGCTACACAAAAGTGACCTTGGCACGCATATAGTTTACTGAGGAAAAGTTGAAACAGCTTAAGTAAACAGTTCTGAAATACATTGTTTCCAATTAAAGTATAATAAAAATACAGTAGTTTACTTGTAAAATTTAATTTTCACAGAGCTAAACTGATCCCTTGATG